GCGGCGCCATCCGCGGTCACTGCGAACACCCCCCCCCCCCCCCTCTCCCTTTTTAGATTGTAAGCCCTCATGGACAGGGCCCTCCTTACCATCTTGTCTTGTATTGTAATTATAATGTCTTCCCTATATTGTAAGGCACTATGCAAACTGTTGGCGCTATATAATTCCTGTATAATATTTAATGTTAGAAATGCTCACTGACAAGAATTCCATTTTATTTCCTTATAGGGTGTGGAACTGTCTGGTCTGTCTGCTGCCATTAGCCATTTCCTGAACTGCTTCCTCAGCTCCTTTCCCAACTCAGTTGCTCACCTCCCAGCTGATGAGCTGGTCTCCAAGAAAAAGAACAAGAAGCGCAAAAACCGAAACCTTAGTAGTGCTGACAACACGACCTGGGCCAGTGTCACCCCGCAGGAACTGTGGAAAAACATCTGCTCTGAAGCCAAAGCCTACTTTGACTTCAATCTTGAATGGTGAGTTGCCCCAGGTTGCGAGGTTGATGTTTCGTACTTGGTTGGTGGCTGCATTATGTCGTCCGGAGATGGCTTTTTGGCCTGTAGCATTTGGTATAGATTCCCTCAGGAACGCTGCACAATTACTAAACAAAAATCTTAATAGGACAACTCTATCCGAATTGTTATTTCAGTTGGATGAGCTTACTGGTGAGTCATTTCTTGTCTCTTCAGAGGTTAAATGGCTTCACCAGAATTCAACTAACTTTTGTGGCCACTACAAAGTTTATTTCACTTGCCATTAACTATGGTTTGCCCACAAAAATCATTTTAACCTTATAAATAAACCCCATGTGATCACCCTGATTGTCAGACACGGTAATCACGAACCGCACCTATTGGTTACCGATCATTAGTGTTAGGAAACTCATTTTGTTTGAAAAATGTAAGCTTGAGTTTAAATACAGACTGTCATCTCTTCCTTTTAGTGAAAATGTGGACCAGGCAGTGGAGGTGCACAACCTGCAGAAAATCAGCCTTCTCAGAGAAATCTCTATTAAAGTTGGCATTCAGGTAAATTTTTATCACAGTGCAGCCATTTTTTTTGCCTGTCAGAAGCCTCTGGTGTAGAAATGGAGAAACGTCTGTGGTCTGTTGTCCAAAGCCATAAGACTGTTATACACGAGATGTACATATTGACATGTAACTCCAGAAAAAAAAACCCCGTCTGCTATAAAAGCAGTTAATTAACCTCTTGCCTATAAAATTCATTTCAGTACAGCGCTGCATGACGGAATAAATGTCAGTTAAAGTACCGCAGCGCTGAATACTGAAAAATGGCCTGGATGGGAAGGGGGTTTAACACCGCGGATGTCAACTGGTTAATGGAATACCCCAACAATTGAAATTTCTGCTAGATTTGGAGGGTGCTCTATATGAAACAAGTGACAATTTAATTGTTGCCCCTGGACTCTGGGGGAAAAATAATTTGGCGGATGTCCCTAGACATTTTTCAGGTACAATATTGATAACCTGAAGGAGGATAGTGAACTCTTACAGCTGCTATGTCTGCATCCTTTCCCAGATTCCTCCATTCCTTTGCCCCATGACAAGATATAGAAGCCCTCTGCTATACAGCATTTGACTAAAGTTAGAAGACTCAATTGTTTTGTTATAACTCTGCAATACAAACATAAAGCAGCTAAATGAATATTACTAATTGTATCTATATTTGTATTTTTCACGCAACCCCAGATCCTGCTCAAAGAGTATAACTTTGACAGCCGACACAAGCCGACCTTCACAGAAGAGGACATATTGAATATTTTCCCTGTGGTGAAACATGTCAATCCCAAAGCATCTGATGCTTTTCATTTCTTCCAGAGCGGACAAGCTAAAGTACAACAGGGTGAGTCTCTGTTTATCTTGCTCAGGGCCAGCTTTGTAATTCAACACAGGGTAACTTTTCTTCACCTTCTTATCAGCACCCCATGGCAGCTACTGTTCTATAGTCTGGTACTCATTTCACAGGGTGGCATATAAATGTAAACAGTATGGAAGATGTTTGTACACATGAAAGTGAAGGATAACACTTAAAGGGTTTCTAAACCCTCCGCTTTTTTTGCATATATATGGCTAGCAAGCAGTAGCTATATGCAAAAAGTTTTTTAAAAGCGGTTTAAATTTTCCGCTGTCTTCGCTGCGCGCTCCCGTCCGAAAATCCGAAGCTGCTCGGGCGGCCGCAAAGCATCTTGGGGCGGGCGCATGCGCAGTTCGAATTTTCGGCCGGGAGACGAGGAGAGACGCAAGGTAAGTCCATGGACACGTGCACCCGCATGCAGACACCGTGGTACAGGAAGTACCAGCAAGGACAGAGGAGTCAGCGCTGGATCGGAGATAGACGCAAGGTAAGTCCATGGACACGTGCACCCGCATGCAGACACCGTGGGACAGGAAGTACCAGCAAGGACAGAGGAGTCAGCGCTGGATCGGAGACCCGCCACAGAGAAGGCTGAAAAGGACAGGAAAGAAGATCGGATTAAGAGTGCGGCTGACATTTTTACTTAAGTTTAGGATTTATTTTATTACTTTGTGCACTGCAGACTGGGTGAAGACTACATACTGTCTATGTTGTTTATAATTGATGCTGAATACTGGCAGTCATATGGTACACCCTAAAACCAGGCAAATGAGCAGACTTGTATATAAACTATAACCACATACATACTACTGTTATCTAGTAATATATACAGGTGAAACTCGAATAATTAGAATATCGTGCAAAGTTCATTTATTTCACTAATGCAACTTAAAAGGTGAAACTAATATATGAGATAGACTCATTCCATGCAAAGCAAGATAATTCAAGCCGTGATTTGTCATAATTGTGATGATTATGGCTTACAGCTCATGAAAACCCCAAGAACCCCAAATCAACAACCTCAAAAAAGTAGATTATTACATCCAATCAATAAAACAAGGATTGTACATAGAACAATATCGGACCTCTGAAAAGTACAAGCATGCATATGTACTCAGTACTTGGTTTGGGCCCCTTTTGCAACACTTACTGCAATTACTTTTGCACGATATTCTAATTATTCGAGTTTCACCTGTATAGTGTTATTAATATGTTATTGCATAATATTTTATATATTTTCCCTCTAGAAATATTCCTATCCTTTCTCCTAAGATATCACTTTGTTTTTTGTAATTGTGATTTGTAGGTTTCTTAAAGGAAGGCTGCGAATTAATAAATGAAGCCTTAAATTTGTTTAATAACGTGTATGGTGCTATGCACGTAGAGATCTGTGCCTGCCTACGACTGCTTGCCCGACTCAACTATATCATGGGTGACTACACTGAGGTAAGTTACATATGTATGTGCTTTTCCATAGTCGCTTCCCTCTTTTAGTAGGAAATCTGTGCAGTAATACTTTCTGGTTAGATTAAAAGAAATGAGTGTGTAAGTATTGTCACAAAGTGCTTGCACTGGGTGACACAGGATCCTCTGTTAATACCACAGACCTTTACAGGACCTAAGACTTACACTTCTCAAACACACTGTTCATATACAAATATTTACTGTTTAACTCCCAAAGGAAGTGTACTTCTGTCCATCCTATTTAGTGATTTATACACATTTCCACCACTGGTCAGTCAGGAAGCACACTAATGAAGCAATTCTTTAGCCAGCATCCTACATTACCTCTCTGCCTGTAGGCTCCTCATTGGACAGTAATTAGCATCTCCACCTCTGTTCAGTGGGCAGGCAGCATTAATGCTAAACCAAGAAGCAGGAGTGTGATCTGAAATACTAACAGAAGTGTGTATCACACGAGTTGGATGACATATCCTTTTGGCAGGTAAAGCATAAACATAAAACTGGAGCAGACAACAAAAAGAGAGAAGCTGATTGGTTGCCCTGGGCAACTGCTCAAGATTTTTTCTGACCCAGTTTTCATAAATTCCCGTCAAAGTATTTCAATTGTGTATGTAGCTTTATGTCTGGATTTCCAGTTTGTTTTTTATAACTATAATGTGACCCGGGGCAAACAACACAAACATGCAAATGAATCCCCGTCACCAGTGTATACTTACCCTGAGGAACAACACATGGAGTTCTGCCAAAGTATATAGTGGGCAATGAGCCGTCTCTATCCAAGTACAACCACTTGCTAGAGGTACCTGACTTTCTACATGACAGAATGGAGAAAAGTGAAAATTGTTCTCAGAATGTTTCCAATGCATTTGAAATGGAATAGTGAGCACTTGTATTGCTTGATGCTGTTATTTAGGGAACAAAGGTCTACTGCTAGTGGTGCGAAGGTTTCTGTCTTGTGATACCAGAATCCCCCGCTAAAAATGCAAAATAGTTTATTTTGCAGTATATGGAAGATATCATTGTGTAAATGTTTTGTGCATTGTCTTTTCAGGCCTTAAGCAACCAGCAGAAAGCCGTTCTAATGAGTGAGAGAATTTTAGGCATTGAACATCCCAGCACCATCCAGGAATATGTAAGTGTAACAGCCTCCTGGCCTTCCTTTCCCTTCGTAGCCACCATCTCTTGTATCACGTTGCGTTGGCTGACTTTTGCATATGTGTTTCGTTGTAGATGCATCTAGCACTGTACTGTTTTGCAAATAACCAGCTCTCCACTGCGTTGAATCTGCTGTACCGCGCTCGTTACCTCATGCTGCTTGTGTTTGGAGAAGGACATCCAGAAATGGCACTTTTAGATGTAAGTACAGGTTTCCATTTACAGTAAGTACAGGTTTCCATTTACAGGAAGACTATTTGCTATTATGTGGTGTTGCCGTATCTGTCATTCCACTTACCGCTAAAGTACATTTTGTTTCCTGCGCTAGAGATTTCTAACGTATCGTCACCTGGGTAGAACAAGACACAAATGGTCTCCAAGTCATGTTTGTGGAATGTCTCTGTAGTCTTATCATTTTTGATGCTAAGCCAGAATTGTGATCTGTCTCCCTGCAGAGTAACATTGGCCTGGTGCTTCATGGAGTAATGGAGTATGACCTTGCCCTGCGATTCCTGGAGAATGCTCTTACCATCAACTCCAAGTATCATGGAGCCAAGTCTCTGAAGGTCGCACTCAGGTGATTTATCAGAGGAATTTCTCTTGCATATATGAGTAACCTTGTGCTCCATAAACTCTCTGTTTCCCTGTAATTCGACCTATTGGAAGAACATTATGCTGAAGCAGGCTGAAACAATGCAAATATCGATTTTAGGTTCAGCTGTTTTCACATCTTCTCCTTTTAAAGTTTTGACTCTATACCAGAAACCTGAATAGGCACTGCAGATAATAATATGATGGCAACACACCCAGTGTGCTTCTAGTAGAGGGATTTTTATGGACACTGACACAATTGGCAGACATATTATTAAAGGAGAACTATGGTGTCAGGGTTATTCCCCATAGTTCTCCTAAGGGTCACGGGAGGACATAAACTAGCGTTCTCCCGTGACCCAAAGCTCAGTATATTGCAAGCAACAGCTCGGGGTATACTGAGACCGCCGCAGCCGGGACGGATCCCGACATTACTGTCGAGATCCACCCAGCTGCGTGAGTGACAGCTGGCTCTGCCTATCTAGAGGCAGAGCCAGCTGTACGCGCCCCGTCCGTTCCTCCAGTCAGCGCTGGGGAATCCCTGCAGGGAGCTGGTATGTGTTCACTCACTTCCCGATCTATTGAGCCGACCTGTGACAGTTTCATTGTCACACGTCAGCTCAAACTATGAGGTTGAGTGAAAATCATTCACCTCATAGTTCTCCTTTAAATCTTGAAGTGAACCTGTAACCAGGCTGTGGACATTCAAGTATTTTACATTTTCTTAACCAAAAGTAGATGAGCTTTAAAAACCATTGCCGACCCACAAACAGACACTGAAGCAATTAATCCTCAAAGTTCCTAGTCTCAGCAGCTCTGTTCATCCTGCTCCCTCCTCCCAGAAGGTCTGCTCTGTGTTTACATTACAGAATGGAAGGCTGCCTAGTCACTGCTGGGAGGGAGAAGGCAGGGGGTGAGCTGAGCTGCAGAGAAGGCTTGAACGAGTTCAGTGCTAAACTTTGAGGATGAATAGTGTCTGCAGCTACCAAGGTCAGTAAGGAATTCTTTTAGAGCTCATTGACTGCTTGCTAAGAGTATTGAAGTATGTGCATGTCCATAGCTTAGCCACCATTACACTTTAAGTCCCTGAAAGAAGGCGCAGTGTTTATTGATCTAGAGAAACCCTACCACAAATGATTTGAGATGCATCCAAGGTGGTAAGTTGTATACACATTAGATCAGATGCTTCCTGCAGCCCTCAATAGTTTTTTTTAGTATTTAAATTGAATAAAAGCTGGAACTTCACTTAGTCAGCCAGTGTGCTGGCAGTTTTATACAATTTAAGTGTTCAAGTTTTCTGATTTAGAAAGCTTCAACAACTAAAACTACGTTCTGTAACTGCGTACTACAGCACATTGCCACACGTTGCACCTCCTTTTTACTGACATGCTACATCTTATGTCATCTTACCTGCTGCATTCTCTATGGCCCTAAAGTAAATGACAAGTCATGTCTGGATCAATGCACAACATACAGTATGTGTGTTAAAAAAGTTCTCTTACCTTTTGATGCAGTAAGTCCCTCTGCACTCCTCACAGCGCTCCCGGCCCAAGTACTTGTAGTGGTGCTGGCAGTGACAATCACGGATGGCACCGTGCAACGAACTGTGGAAAGCAGGAATCGCCAGCACTCAGTAAATATCTTTGATGTCCATTTAATCGGACCAATCGTCATTTACTGAGTGCTGGTGATTTCTGCTTTCCACTCTTACCTTTGATAACATGTTTTCCGTATTATCTTTTGCAGTCACCATCTTGTAGCGCGTGTATATGAAACTAAAGGGGAGTTCCGTTCTGCCTTACAGCACGAGAAGGAAGGATACACAATATACAAGAACCAGGTCAGCAGTTAATGACTCTGTATATCTTCATCATAGTAAATTGTTGGAAGGATAACTATGTAGCTCCAAGTTGGCATTGGGGAGATATATCGGCTGTCTGCAAACAATAACAAACTACCTGCTGATCCCTACAATGACACTTTACCTGTGCAGTATTTTTGGCCTCCAGTGTCTGATCGCTATACTGGTACCGGGTTGTGTCCACAAGTTGAAGGTGAGTGAGCCGGGTTTGCTTTAGCATGGCCATCATTCTCTATGGGCTGGCCTGAGTCCTTGCTCACCCATCTTGGGGACATGGCCTCCTATGCGTCATAGGATCAGCGGTACAGAAGGATGTAAAACACAGTCCACAAGCTGTGCAGTTCTTCTTTTTATAGCCAATATACCATCATCATGTTTAATGTGGAGTTATCATTACTGATTGAATGTGATTTGTCTGTGTTTTTACCGGAGGCAATGTTTATGATCATACTAACTTAGGAGAAAGTGAGATCAGGATTGTTGACTCCTGATTTATATATAAAGCATCATCTAAAATATTTTCATTTCATTCTCCATCCAGCTGGGGGAGCAGCACGAGAAGACCAAAGAAAGCTCGGAGTACTTGAAGTACCTGACCCAGCAGGCTGTAGCCTTGCAGCGCACAATGAATGAGATTTACAAGAATGGATCCAATGCCAACATAATGCCTCTTAAGGTGTGTGAGCCGTGTGTCGCCTGCGGATTTGACAGAAACGACCTCTGATTGTAGAGAACAATAAACATTTGTTACAGTCTTAAAGATGGTTTTGTCTACAAAGTCGGAGAGATTTAACCGGCACTTCTAATTATTTTATAAGGTCATATGAGCTGTATTTCTCTAGTCGCTTTCCAGGACAGCATTAGAGAGATAGGCTCCTCCCACCGGAACAGGAAACACATCACCCACACTTAGAATAAAAAGGAGCACAAGCCTAGCACGCTTCAGTTATTTTGTGTTTACTCCGGCCGAGCAGGACATCGTAATGTTTGTTGTTTTCCTTAGGCCTTCGTGCTGGTGAGCAGGGGCTTCCCCCCGACAGGGGTACAGCAGAGGGTCAGTGGACCCGGGGTACCCAGGAAGGGGGGCTTCCTGGACAGCCCCAACTGTCCGAAAGAAAATGCCTGTAGTTTACCTGCACAAGGGTGTGCAGGGCAACTTGACCTGTTGGTGTAGTGGACTCAGGGGAGTTCCCCCGGGCGAAAAACCTCTGCTTCAAAGTGGTGTGCTTTTTCTTACCTGCAACGGTGGTGGCTTTCGGGGATCCTGGCTCCGGTCCGCGGGACTGGGGCGCGGCGTCCTCGTGTGTCATGGGGAGGCATTTCCCGGCGTACGAATGTGGGCGGAAATGTCGTAAGTAACGAACTTCCGGCGTTGTCCGCAGCGCGTCTGACGTCACTTCCGGTGCGCGGAGACATACAAGCAGACACTGCCAGGCTGCGTCAGCCATTCGGTCCACGCTACAGATGGCCAACACATCTGAAGCAGGGGGTCGCAAGGCCCTTGCGGTGCCCACACACGCAAGGGGGGGCACCAATAGTGGGGCGCAAGAGCTGGAGTCGGAGGGGCCAGGGAACCCAGCTGGAGACTCAACTACCACAATGGCAATGTTAACACAGGATTGGTATGTGTTATTTCCACCAGTGCATGGCGGATTAAAGGCAAGGGCCAAGCACAGATACTGTTTTTTAAGCTGCAAAGCGGCAAACCCAGACAAGTAAACAACCAAATTACTCCCACATGGAATAGATGGGGGGTGCAGGAGTATTGTGAATTATTTTCCAAATTTCACACTTTTTCGCAGCCTCTGTTTTGTTGCAGAGGTTCTTGAAGCGTGCTAGGCTTGTGCTCCTTTTTATTCTAAGTGTGGGTGATAGGCTCCTCCCACCGGAACAGGAAACACATCTCTCTAATGCTGTCCTGGAAGGTTCCTAGAAACAGAGTTACCAGGTACGTAACTCCAATTTTTGTCATTGTCATCTTGTTGTTGCAGAATATTAATGATCATTTCCTACAATTCAATTCTGCATTTCAAATAAGCTGCAGCATAGGCGTATTCAATAGAAGTATTTGTGCTGTACAAAGTACCTCTAGCAACCATATTTGTTTACTTTGCCGCATAATGGAATATTATACAAAACCTTAATATGTGTGGTCCCACACAAACTAATCTGGGGACATTAGGGGGGCTCTGGTGTGATTAGAGGCACCTGCTAGTTTGGAAAAGGTTTATAGAAAGTGTGTTTTGTGCTGCACAAGCTGAGAAAATAACTGTGTTGTGTCCTACACTACCAATGGTGGACAGCAGGGGCATCTCCCAGCATGCTTTGCTTAGTCAGATGAATAGTAAGCAAATATCACCCTGCGTTCAGCACAAGATGACAATTGGTTGCTCGTAATGAATGCTTTTTTTATTCATTTGCCATTTGAACATAAACCTGACCTGGCTGCCAGGAGCGCAGACACCTTTTGGCATCTTCACGTAGTTGTGTTAGTCTTCAAACCAGTCCTATGTCCTTCTGGAGATCTTTGGATCCAGGGTATTGATTTCTGCTGCCTTTCCTCAATGCATGACATGTCTGAGAAAGCCACAGTCTCCCCTCTTGCCCTCAGAGCAGCAGGAAAGAACCCCCTGAGGGGATGAACTCTGCCCCGCCAAAAATAATGAAATCCATTTTGTGTAGATTTGTACTTTAGTTCAAATATGTCTCCATGATTCTGACCCCTCAAACCTGATTGTGACCTTGCAGTTCAGTATATAGATTTCCATCTATATAGACATCATTTTAGATGGAATGTCTTAGCACATATAAATGGTTTGTTCATCATTCAGCACATACATGGAGACAAAGCTGTAATCCTATTTTTTGGATCCCAAACCAGATTCCTCTTTTGACAGAATTTAAAGGCAAATGTATTGAAGGCAAACATGGGGGCTGCCATTGCCGACCTTTCCTTTTGAAAAGGTACCTGGTTGTCACCCCGTCCCAGAGTCAGCTAGCATTTTCAAAAGGAGGTCAACAATGGCAGTTTGCATGTTTTTGTTATGACAGGTTTACTTCAAATGTGGTAGCTTTACTAGGAATGTATCCTGCTTCTTACTGTGTTTGTTTCCTTCTATCAGTTCACAGCTCCCAGCATGGCCAGTGTCCTGGACCAGCTCAACATCATTAATGGAATCCTCTTCATTCCTCTCAGGTGACTGACATTCTCATTGTTACACCGTTCATGTGAATCCATATGTAGCTTATTGAAGTAGTGGGAGTTGCTGGTGATTATATTGGGCTGAAGGACGGGTCGATTTATATAGGGCAAAAAAAAAGTTTATTGGGGAACACAACTGAGATATAAGTTCTGCCCCTAGGAGAAGGCACTGTGGGCAAAGCACAGAGGCAATGCTTTCATGAATAGTGGTTATATAACAAAACATAAACCAAAACTGTTTTTTTGTATGTGTGTGTGTGTTTTACATAGAAAAAAAACCCTCAAATCCCTATTGTGTTCCCTATGTCCTCCTTATGAACTGTCACACAACAGGCGGTTAGAGAAAATCTCCTTTAAAGTAAGGGAAAGCTATTAAAACAAGTGTTCCCACTGGAAGGTTTTCCCTCCTTCCTTCTTCTGGTGAAAACAAATGTTGGGTCTTTTCACGATCAATTCTTCACCACGGCAAATCTAAAGGGTAAATGTCCCTGGCAGAGGAGATTTTCTCTAACCTCCTGTTGTGTGACATGCCAAATCACCCCCCATGTGAACGAGGCCTTGGTGTGTACTATGATTTCAGCTCTCCATGCAGTCTTGGTTTTACAAGACTTTTGGTTGCTTTTCCATAGTACTGTACAGAGCAATAAATGTAAGTAAACACCGCAATGAACGATGTGCAGGAACACACAATACATATTAACAAATTAATTACAAACATACAATTTCTACTGACCAGAAAAACGGCAAAGTACGATTTAAAGGTCAAATTTACCTTTTGAAAGGGAAGTGACTAATGTAATGTATGTGTACTCCATTTGCACCCTGCGTCCGAGTATTTATTCCTATGACTTCAGCTGAGCATTTACTGACTTTCTCATTGTCATTCTAGTCAGAAGGACCTGGAGAATCTGAAAGCCGAGGTCCAGCGACGTCAGCAGTTACATGAAGCCATCAAGGGAGCCGATAGTCAGGAAGCGGACAACAAAGAAACTGAAATAACAGAAGCAAGCAAAGCTAGCACTGATCCAGATGAGACTGTCCAGACACAAAGCTCCGCCTAGCCCCGTTTTCCTGTTCTTCTAGCACCCTATAGAAAAGGTTAACCCCTCGGGGAGGGGGGTTGTCACCAAGGCCTGTAGATGTAAAAAGGAAAACAAATACAAAAGGGCATCTTTGCAATGCTATTGCACAGGTACACATGCCGATAATACACAATGCAAGAACTTATCAGTAAACCATCAGTGTAAAGGTTCTCCGTGGGCTTCTGTCTGCTCACCAAGGTCCTTCCGTCCCTAAGCAGCTGTGCTCATGGGAGATTCGGGGCTCCTGCCAGTCCAGGCTGGGACTTCAGTGTGTGTATGTTGGTGTGTGTGTTTGGGGAAATCCATTTCTGCATTTTGTGATTTGACTTTAGAGGTATGGCTCTGTTTAAAAGTGACTGAACATTTCTCAGGTCAATTAATAAAGTGGATTGGGGAAGAGCCCTTGTAAGATATTAGAAGGCAGATCTCCTAAATTCCGGGCTGTGGCACTGTGTTCTGAGCCAAGCGATGCACTCACGGCCCCAGACCTAAGCCATACACAAGATGGAAGACAAGCCCCCTAAACCATAATAACACAACACATTTGGGTAATAACAGACATGGCTGATGTATTCTTCCTGGGACAGTTTTCCTTTTCTCTTCCTTTTATTTTGGGGATGACGTGGTAATACATTTGCTCTCGGCCTTTATTTTTTTTTTAATGGAAGACTTTCAAGTTTTATATATCTGTTTATTGTTGTGTTTTCTCTTTATTTTAAATGGTGATACTGTGATACATTATCACGTAGGACTGCATCATCTGAGTGGTTTTCTAAGGCTTTCTACAGTGTCAGCCCCTCTCCAGATCCAAAGATACTAAACCCACATCCATACTCTTGTCACCCACAAACTAGTACCTGAATGTAAAAGCAGATCATGGTCACTATGCTGTATTGTAAGGAATACAATGCTTCTGTCAATGGGAATACTTTGTCCTATGAAGCTTCTATTCACTCTCTTTGTGAAAGACTTGGCTGGCTATGGGCAAGTGTCCTTAGAAGGTGCTTCCTACATATCGCCATCAATTCTTCAATGGCTGCTTCTTGAATAAGTGTTCCTTTCATTGTACAGCCTCCTGCACTTCAAAAGAATCGCCTATGGACCATTGTGTTGTAATCAAAGGAAAGACGCCCCAATCGGACTTCTTCAGGAGGCCATACATTTGATCCACGCTCTGGCTTTTGGGGCTCTAAAGTTTGGTCATTTATTTGTGTGTAATTGAAGCAGCATATGATTGTAGCCACCCATCTTCACACTTGGTAAACCTCAGATTTCTATTCTCTTTTTTTTTTCTTTTAATGTAGGAATTTAGGGTTCTCTTGTGGTCGAAGACCATTCCGTCCCATGAGGAAAAAAGTCAAATCATGTTGGATGGGCTAATTAATCTCCTGATTGGTTTCCAGCCTTCCATGAATTTGCATACTGGAAGGGTTGTGGTGTACAATCAATTCCAGGTATTAAATAGGCTTTGGGGGGGGTCAGGTGCACTAATGGTGCTTGTAGAAAGGAAGTGATCTATACATTGGCGCTATAGTTACACAAAGAGGACATTTAAATGTTTCTTGTGGAGCATGGCAGTGGATAAAGCTCACCGACCTGTGAACATTACATTAATCCTGATCTAACCAAGTTTTTAGTTTTTCCTTTTAAGATAAAGGTATTCAACTTATTTCTTTTCCCTCCCATGTGTTTCCACAGCCAATCCCTATATCTTGTCTTTTAATTTTGAATTCTCATGATTTTTTTTTTTTTTTTAATGACCTGCACTGCAAGAAAGTTTAAAGCTAATTCAGTTGTGGCTGACGTGTGTTAGAGATCAGAACTTCTCACAGCTGTGCTACCATTATCTGCTTCCTGTCACCAGTGGATCAGGGCAGAGTTTAGTGGGAGCTGCCCAGTGGCTACTGCTCTCCTCTAGTCCTTGTCTGTCATTGTTCAAATACTGCGCTGTACTGCTTTATGGTAATTCTTTTGGGTGGAATAACTTGTTCTCTACCAAACCATGATACATGAAAGCACCGTTGTCATTTTTGTCCTAAACATCATGTTCCTAAAATTTGAGACTTTTAGCCTTTAATAAATTAATGACAATGCATTATTTTGCTGTTTTGATCATTTTTCTTGAAATAAGAATACAAAGATTGAGGAATGTTTAGATTCTCTGTTTTTTTTTTGCTCCCATTTGAGGTTTCTTCTCACTTGACCTAAAGTTCCAGTTTCCCAGATGGTGTCCCTGGTTCTAGAGTGTCTTTTCCATAGAAATATATGGTGGGTACACTGCAGATGGAATGTGGTTGGGGCAATATATCTCAGAAATGCCAGGGGAAGTCTCAGCATTTTGTTTTCCTTTTCTTTTCTTTCTACAATGTGTCTTTAGATTAAACAGGTAATTTGGGACAATACACAGTGAAATAATTGGACTTCAGCTTGCCACTGAAGAAAAGCAATAAGGTAGAACAGACCAATGATCTGCAAGTGCAGCAACCCAAGGCATTTAGCAACCATGTGCCGTCTCGATGCATTACTGTTCTCTACACGTATTACTTGCCATTCTGTACTGTTTCTAAAATAAATCTGAGGCTCCAGTAAAACAAATTTGATCTGCAAGAGACAATGGAGCATTCTCTGAATGTTCTCTTGTTTGCCGTGATGAGGTTAGTCCAGATGAGAGAAGCCTGAAGGACAGCACCAAATGGGGTGAGGGGGTGCCAACCTCAGATTGTTTACAAATAAGTGTAATCATGTTTGCAAGTCTTAGCAAATTTAAATGTATTAAACTTTAGATGTAAATGTTGTACAGATGATGGCACACAGATAGTACTAATTATGTAGTTTAATTTTACAGGGATCAATATATTAGGATACTGTATATAGGATCAAATATACAAACAAAAATGGATGTTTGTATAAAATCATTCAAAACTAACACAGTGCTCTAAACTAAAACACTCCACCGCCAGAAAACATCCCAAAGTGTAAAAATTATATTTGTGTATTAAACCAATTGTGTCTAAATAAGTGGTGACTACTCTTGAGAAAGTAATTGATGATGAAATGTGTTGAGCAGAGTCTGCTGACATCACTTCTGCTAAAGTTGCATTGAGGATTTGATATTTTGTTCCAGTTGGTGGTCTCGGCGTTAATTGTATTTGTCCTTTTGAAGAACCGAATAGGGTTCTCCACAAAAACGGACAACTCAGAAACCCTTCTAGCGGAGGTAATGGCCACAAGGAAAGCAAACTTTTTCAATTACAAAGGCAAAGAAATGACTCGGATAGGTTCATAAGGAGGTTTTTGTAGAACAGATAAAACCAAGTCCAAATCCCATGAAGGAAGAGGTAATTAAGGAAGAACCACACATAGAACTCCCTGAATAAAAGTAAGGATCAAAGAATTAGAAGCAAGGGTGCATTGAAAAAAAGACCGACAAGGCAGATGTGTGACCCTTATGATACTTTGAGCTAAACGTTGCTCTACCCCAAATTGAAGGAAAGACAAAATTTGCACTCTAGGAAACGCACATGAGGAAAACCCCCCAAGGACTCACACCGGCGAAAATTATTTATCTGGCATGATTCTGTTTTCTGGGCTAGCTAGAGACTCTGAGAAATAATATCCGGTCAACTTGCAGCTCTTGGTAGTAGAATCTTCAATGAAGAAACAAAATAATAAAGCAGGAGAGGAGACATACCAGTTTGCTTGGCTGGAGCATTGATGTGTGTGTTAACACAATGCCAAGGAGGAAAGACATCAGCAATGTTTGCTGCCCATCAATCTGGGAAGGGTTATAAGGCAATTTCCAAACAATTTAAAGCCCATCCTTCTACAATGAAGAAGATTATTCACAAGTGGAAAACATTTCGGACAGTTGCCAATATTCCCAGGAGTGGACATCCCAGCAAATTCACCCCAAGGTCAGACCATGCAATGCTCAGAGAAATTGCAAAAAACCCGAGTTACATCTCAGACTCTACAGACCTCACTTAGCATGTTAACTATAAAAGTTCCTGACAATACAATTAGAAAAAGACTCAAGTATGGTTTGTATGAAAGGGTTGCCAAGAGCAAGCCTCTTCTCTAAAAAGAACAATGCAGCATGGTTTAGGTTTGCAAAGTTGTATCTGAACAAACCACAAGACTTCTGGAACAATGTCCTTTGGACAGACAAGACCAAAGTGGAGATGTTTGGCAATAATGTACAGAGCCATGCTTAGCTAAAAACCAAACACGGCATATCAACTGTCAAGCCCAGAGGTGGAGGGATGATGATTTGGGCTTGTTTTGCAACCACAGGACCAGGGCACCTTGCAGTCAGGGAGTCGACCATGAACTCCTCTGTATACTAAAGTTTTCTAGAGTCAAATGTAAGACCATCTGTCTGGCAGCTAAAGCTTGGCCGAAATTGGGGCATGCAATGGGACAATGATCCCACGCACACCGGCAAATCTACAACAGGATGGCTGAAAAAATAATAGAGGTGTTGTAATGGCCCAGTCAAAGTGCAGGCCTCAACCAGACCTTAAGAGAGCTGTGCGGAAACAAATGTCCTCAAACCTCAATGAACTGAAGCAACGTTGTAAAGAAGAGTGGGCTAAAACTCCTCCACACTCATGTGAGAGACTGATAGTCATATAGAAAACAATTACTTCAAGTTATTGCTCCTAAAGGTGGTTCTACAAACTATTGAATCATAAGGTGTACTTAGTTTGTCACACATGGCTTCTCCATTTTGACTTTGTTTGTAAAATAAATAATGACACGGTGTAATATGTCATGTGTTACTATTCATCTATTAGGTGGTATTTACCTAATTTTAAGACCTGCTAAGGACCCGAGGATTTTTTTTTATTAAGTCCTGATACATAAAACATTAGAATTCAAAAAGGGTGTACTTTCTTTTTTACACTACTGTATATTAGGATTATTGTTTTCGCAATTGTCTTGATACACAAGCTTTATACACAATTTGTTTAATACACAACTTGACTTTTTACACCTAGGGATGTTTTGTGTAGGGGAGTGTTTTAATTTAGAGAGCGGTTTACTTTAGAGCATTGACCCAGCTGCTGAGAATATTGATAGAAGTACCATTAGCGCAATCTATTTGGAAGACAATGTTTGCATTTAATATCTGACAGAATATGTTGTAGAATTTGAATAAGTATGAAGCAGACTGTAGCCCTAGCCATGTTACTATAATGTTTAGTCAAATATGTTAGTCAGATTTAACAATCCAGGATTGGAGCAACATTCACCATATTTATTCCCAGGTCATTTTTTGTACAAGTCATTCTGAATTGAGAAAGCTGGTTGGATGACCAGTGAAACTTCTTCCAGAAAAATACAGCAAGTCCAGTTGCCTTGACTTAATTTTTACAGATGTCAGGAGCTATAGATTTCAACACTGAAAATGATAAGCATTGTGCAGTCACTTGTCAAATACATTTTTCTAAAGTACATTGAGCAACACAACAACCTTCAAGGACCAATGGGTTTATATCGTCACATGCAGGAGGACACTAGGTCTAACAAAACAAAAAAAGTAGGAGAACCAGTGGTTGTCAACTAACAAAGTGTAGGGAGTCTCAAATGCAGCCCCTGATGTCTCTGAAGGCCGGGTATAATAGTTTTTATACAAAATGCTGCAGAAGACTTAACAGAGGAGATGGTCAGAAACTGACAGGAGTCTTTGGAGACTTAGTCATACTTTCAGAGACTGGGAACATACATGAAACCTCTAGAGAATACTATTATAAAAGGCCCCTTTTGCAACTCTGTACTTCCACTACTGACCTACTGGGGCCTGAGGGTTTGCACTTCAAACACCAAAGGACCTTAGGTTGGGCAACAGGGGCCTACTGTAAATACTTTGCTACAGAGCGTCCATTATTTTTTTTGCTAGTGTCTAAGGAGGAAGGACTCCTCTCTCCAAGCTCAGCAAATGTTTTCTTACCGGAGAAGCTGAAAACCTGGCAGGTCCAGGTCAAGCATTTTCCAGGGGGAACAAAAAAAAAAAAACGACCCTACTGCCCCCATCTGCATGCAAATAAACACACACGTAGGACATTTTTTTGTGTGTGTGTTGAGTCCTGTGCCATTCCACTGGTACCATACTGTAGTAGCCAGGCAGCAGAACTTCCTTACATGCACAATGTGCATTAAAGGGTAAGCTCACTTTCCCAGGTAATAGAGGAAAATGGAATTACCAATCAAATCTGGCCCGGTCTCTCCCAAACCCATACTTACCTTTCTGCGAACAGTCCTTGCCAGTACAGGTGTACTCTATGTATGCCGTACAGCTGTCCAGCACAGTCCTGCCCTATGTATTCTGAATTTCGGTCGCAAATTGGTCACTCATTGCTCAGCGTGGTCCGGTGACCACGCTGATCAATGAGAAGCGCTATTTAGCAG